AATCCTCTGTGGAAAATGATCCAAAAACAGAAGCACTGACATCAAACAAGAATAAACTCTGTGAATGTCGATAGTGATGATGTATTTCGGACATTAAGTACTCTCGATGTAGAAAAATCAACAGGACCGGATGAGTTGCACCCAAGGCTGCTCAGGGAGCTTGCACTTTATGTAGCCGGCCCATTGACTGCTATATTCAGACTGTCTCTCAGTGAAGGCACACTCCTCTGTGACTGGAAGGATGCCATAGTAACACTTATCCACAAGGCAGGTTCTAAGCAGCTCCCATCAAGTCACAGACCGATAAGTTTGACTAGTACTGTGATGAAAATCCTAGGAAGAGCAATCAAGAAAGCCATCATAGTCCACCTAGAGAGCAACACTCTATTGTCTCATTCACAGCACGATTTTTATAGAAATTTCTTACAGCCAGAAAAAATTAGACTGGGTGTGAAGATGACAGGATACCGGTAGATGTCATTTTCGTTGACTTTAGTAAGGCGTTTGACAAAGTACTTCATTCCAGGTTGCTCGGGAAACTAGGAAGTTTTGGAATCACTGGCAGTCTGCTGGCGTGGATAAGAAACTTTCTTGTTGGTAGGAGACAAAAAGTTAGGATCAATTCTCAACTCTGCACTTGGAAGTCGGTAGAGAGTGGAGTCTCGCAAAGCACAGTCCTGGGCCCCCTACTGTCTCTCCTATACGTAAATGAGCTGCCAAACATCACGAAATCCCATATGGTGATGTAAAAATCTGGCAGGAAATTAGGAACTATGAGGATATACGTGTACTCCAGGTAGATCTGAATAGCCTATTTGCCTGATCAGAAAAGTGGCTGATGCCTATAAATGCAGGTAAATGTGTGAGCATGCATTTGGGGTACACACAGCAACACCTACGATACTGATAGGACTCATTTGCCATCAGTACTGACCCACAATGACCTAGGAGTCACGGTTAATTATGACTTGAAAACCACGGCTCCCTGTCGATTATTAGCAAGTCGGAGTTTTAGGACTCTGTGGGCATTACCTAGAACGTTTACGAAAATAAGTGGTAACATGTTCACCATCTTATATACATCTTTAGTTAGGTCTAAATTAGAAAACTGTACACAGGCGGCCAATCCTTGCCTGAAAGGTGACGCGAAACTTCTAGAAAGAGTTCAGAGGGCAGCCACTCATATGGTTCCTGCTATGACCGGCCTCATCTATGAAGACCGACTCAAGGAGCTGAACCTCTTCACTTTGTCCTACAGCAGACGGAGAGGAGACCTAATCATGCTATACAGGATTCTAAGAAATGACTTTAGACCTGGTCTGTCTTCTCTTTTCCTTCCCACCAGGTCGGAACACCTCAAAGGACACAGTAGGAGACTAAAAAAGCAAAGAATGAACATAGTCACCCCAGAGTACTGGTTCTCGCGTCGAGTAATCAACGCCTGGAACCGACTTGTAGAAGAAGTGGTGCCTGCATCATCAACTGACTCCTCCACTCTCTATCAACTTCCAAGAGAAGAGTTGAAGATTGATCCTTAGTCTTTACTTTATAGTAGCAAGAAACTCTGTGATCAATGTTATTTGATTGACAATGTTTCCGGAACTTTCCAGATTCCCGGGCAACCTGAATTGAGGCGCTTTTTCGAGTGCCTTACTAAAATTTATGAAAATGACACCTGTAGACCCATCATTCTTAGACAGTGGGTGACAATTTAACGTCGGTCGTGCACTTTTGACTGGTGTCAGCCCAGAGTTTTAGGATACTTACGTACTAGGCAAAAATTTCACCGGGACAATAGGTAATGGGTTCACCATCTTATGAATATCTTTAGCTAGATATTAGCCAGAAAATTGTTAACAATCGGCAAATCGTTTTCTAAAAGGCGATTCAGACCCTCTGGATGGGGCTTGGACGACAGCCACTGTTTCGATTCCTGTGATGACCGAAGTGACTTGCAAACAACGACTTCAGAAGTTGCAACTCTTCTTCCTACGGAATCAAAAACAGAGAGATCTAACCATACTGTAAAGTGTTTTAAGAAATGAATCTAGACCTAACTTATTTTCTGTTTCGAGATATCTTAGTGGAAAAAGAAGGGCAATCGAAAAGCAGAATATAAGTGCTTATCGGTTTTCTCTTTAGAATACATTTTACACATTTTGATTAAAAAAATGTTCTTACCAAATAACTTTAGTAAGTGACTGAGCAATAGTTTGAATGAAGCCTCCTCTATGTGTCCTTTCAATGACCTTATCAAAAAATCTTTCCACTTGTATGACGTTCTGTGATAAGGTTTAAAAAGTGGAATGTGTTGTTATGCTTACTTTCCATTGTAAATGCTATGAGAGGCACTTTCACTATTATCGCACACAACAAATGCATCGTCAATGTAGTATACTATCTATTCCATTGCGTATATCAGTTTTATCCGTTCTTATCTCCTCGTAAGTACGTCACTGAGGATTGAGCTCAAAAGGCTCCTAATGGTGACTTCATCGACATGTTGGTATTTAATGCACATCAGTAGTAAAACCACGAAGTGTGGTTTTGCTGATCATCAACATGTTGAAAATCTAACTGCTTCCCAGAAAAGCAACCGCCTAATTAAATATTATTGTTATTGCTACTACTACTACTACTACTGTTAAGATGTCCCACTATTCTTTATTAAGTGTATTGTAAATAAATTGTCAGGGTGAGATTGAATGCTTTAACTAAAATATAGATTATTTAATTGAATCAAGCGCCTATGGTTTTCGATCCAATACAAAAGAAATACTATTAGTGTCGACTGCAGTACATTTTATTTGCATGCTTTGCAACTAAAATCAACCTAGTCCGTTAACTGCTTAAATCCATAGTTTATGTGTTGAAAAAACTGAAGAATCGTAATGACTCATCCCTTTTCTTATGTAGTCAAACACAAAATGTACAAGCTTACTAATTAATATAAACTAGAAAATTGAAAGAACACATATTTGTATTACTTTGACGAAAAATAACCTTCTCTTTCGCTAACTGATTTCAGGTGTGGTATGATGATAAGATGCATTACTGACAGTGAGAATCAAACAATAAGTAGTAGTTGAATTCTTATCGTAATCAGATGAATGAAGTAAGTGTGTTAAGAACTTGTTTTAGTGATTATTAGGTTGCTTTATTCATGATAAACAATCAAATATATTTCAAGTTGTTATTCATCGAAGACTGACATCAGTTGGAGGAACAAAGGAAACCTGGGAGCACTGGACAACTGTTTCGTCCTAGTATGGGACTCCTCAGCAGTGCGCACCCACGACCCCACCACCAGGGACCGAACCCGCGACCTTCAGGTTCCGCGACCAGCGCCTTACCATTGAGCCACTGGGTCAGAATCCAATGCTCCATATTTCCAACTTCTGTTAGCCCCCTCAAAATTTAATCAAATATATACTTATATTTCTTCGAATTATCTGGGTATTCCTGCTATTCATTAATCAATTGACAGTAACAATGTAAGTAGGGGATGGAGACGAAACAGAATGAAATGAATTTTGTTGTATGCCGACGTAGGTTTGAGTATTTCCGCCACGTTTTACCTATCTGCATCAGAGTAGCTATATTAGTTGATCAGACTGTCGGATGAAACATTAACCTCCTAATATTCGGACTTTAGCTTGGATATAATGAAACTTTTGGTTTGATCTCTGAGGAAAAACAAATTCTTAATAGCTAACATCTTTAGGTGAGTAGAAAGCAATACATTTCTCACTCCGTCTTTGACTTCTTTGATGGTTTGTTTTTATATTTATTCCTAAATTTTATTTACTTGGTTATGTACTTTCTCTCCAAGTCTTAACAAGCTTGGAATTTTAGACGAATCACAATATTGTTCTGGTTCACCCGCAGTTTAAAACATTCAGTAATTAGATACTGCCGCTATTGGACACGAAAGTTTATAAGATAGATTTTTATCTTATTTTACTAACTAAGGGGTAGAAAACAGTTCTTTTTACTTGCACAGGAAGTTATTTTAAGCTGTAATTTACTTCAGTTCATTAAGGTGGGCGCATAAAGAACAAGATCCGGATTTTCAACACCAATTCAGTCAAGTCAGTGCTCCTATATGGCTCAGAGACTTGGCGCGTTACGAAAGGGATTTCTAACAAACTACAGATATTCATCAACAACTACCTACGATGGCTCGATACTAAAGCTGAGAGGACCAGGAAGAATAAGCAACAAGGAACTCTGGTCTACCAACGAACCAACCAAGAACCTATCGCTGAACAAATATGCAGAAGGAAGTGTAGATGGATTAAGTATACACTGAGAAGGGCTACTGGGGACATCACGCGCCAGGCCAGGTCGTCGAGTGGGACCCAGATGGGAAACAACGAGTTTGTCGTTTGAGTCAAGGGTGACATGGACGAGATGGTGTGAGAATGAAATGAGAGGTTTTGGGCAGTTGTGAGGTCAGGTTGAAGAGATTGCAGAGAAGAGAGTGTGATGGAGACGTGCTACTGAATGTGTATGTTCCGCTAGGAATCCAAGGGACAAATAATAATATAAGGTAGATACAATATATTTAACTATCTTTCACAATTGGACCTTATCATTTGTGACCAATTAGCGATACTCCATGATTTTTATGTCTCAATAGTTATTCAGTATTAGTCGAATTTCTGTGACTAAGCTGAACAACAGTAGTGATCCTAGATTTCTCTGAAAAACACTATTGACTATCTTTAGTTTAAACAGTAATTTCTTATCAGACTTTTTTACAACTGATTTTATACAAAGACTTTGCAGCAAAAGATTAACTAGTTCAACAGTTTTTATCGGAGTTGAATACCGCAATAATACATATGGATTTACAAAGTGATGACAAGAATCTAAGGGATTAATGTTGAACTTTCTTGAAGGTAACTTAGAGATAATAATACAGTAGAAGTAATTTTTAAATAGATCACTTTCACTTTCTATACTTTTATAAAAAAGCTTAATGCATTCTTATTCAGTTATTTCTTTTTCTTTTTACCTTTACGTTTTCTAATTTTTATTCCATGAACTTCAATCATAGTACGCCACCATGATTGTATTTGTAATATTGATGTGAGAAATTTTTTGGTATATTCATCATGAATATATTTAACTTCTTTTTGACGATTATCCTCTGTAAGTATCTTTTCATATTCTGTATACTGTTGTTCTAATTCAATATGCATAGCTTTATTCTTTTCCAGTTTATTAAGCATATCATTCATTTTGTTGATCATATTATTTGATTGATAAGTAATTATTGTATAACTAGATAAATTTTCTAATTCTGCCATATATAAATATAACCATGAATTGGTTTCTTCTGATATTCTAATTTGTTGTTGTATTTGTAATTTGACCTTGTCTAATTGATCATTTAATTGTTTAATTTCGTCAGATTGAACATTTAAATCTTTTTGTAACTTCATATCATAATCATTTTGTTTATATTGTTTAATCATATTTGAAATTTCCACTAATTCTTGTAATTCATGTTTTAATGAAGTCAAGGTAGTTGTAAATTCAATTGTATTATTTTGTATACTTATCTGTAACTGTTGTAAGTCAACTTGCAATTCATTGAGATATTTTTCATTCTTTTCAATTGAATTAATAAAAGTTTGTAATTCATCTAACTTTTGTTGTTGTTGATAACAATATTTTTCTAAACAATTTACAGTTCCATTAGTATTTAATTCATTAACAAGTGATTTAAATAAATTCATTAACCTTTCAATAATTTCCATATAATTTATTTTACTTTTTTCATCTTTTAGATTAAAAACTTGATTATTTAATAAATTGTGAGTATCGCATGATTTAGATGAATGTTGTCTATTAGCATGTGAACAAAGTGAGGTGTTTGATTTTTTATTTTTAGGAAAATATACTATACTACTTAAATTTGAATTATATAACACTTCAAGTTGTTTACTTGTATCATTGATAGCAGCTAGTATAGATAAACATTCACTTGGTGAAAATATACTCTCTTGTAACATGATATTAATGATACTGATGGTGATAAATTGATAATAATTACCACAGGGTTGATTTTATATGATGACCTAATTTATTGATCAACTTAAATTTATGTCAATAAAGATCAGCTGAGTGAAATATTTGCTATTGATTATTTTGTTCACATGGGAAAGTTGTTTATACAATAACAAAGTTATGGATAAAGTGATGGGTTATACTATTAACATTAAACAATTCTAACCTTGGCAACTAAGTTCAGTTTTTACCAGGTAATGAACCACAACAGTTTTGATGGTTCGCTAGATTGTCATTCTGAACAAAATATGGTATTTAAAATAGTAAAATGGATTTCTTAAGACGCCAAAGAGAATAAGAAGATAGTAAAAAGCCCTACCTACTACGGTGACCATACTAAGACATAGCAGTAATCCATGAAGTTCTTGACTGTAGGTCTGAGCCGTATAGAGAAGTGTAGAATACCTGGCTGGGGTTATAGTAGTCAGTGGTTGAGGATTCTTGGTGACATGGCTGAAAATCTATTACAATCGCGCATATGTATTCACTCTTTGATATCTTCACAGGTTGAACATTTGCACTAACGATAACGGAACAAGCGGAATACACATAGATAACTTAGAAAGTATACAGATTCGTCTTAGAAAGTTCCTAATAGCCTTAATGGGATCACAATGAAAAATTTGTCAAATGTCATTTAAAATGATGTTGCCTCATATGGATTGGTGGGAATACAGACAATGATACGATTTCAAAGAAGAGAAGTCTATGATAATCTAGATATTTTTGTTTCTTAGGTAAAACAGATTAATAAATTGTAAACAAAAACAACTACTTTGTCCTTCATGTACTCGATTCTGATTGGTTAGTGAATACTTGAACGTAATTGGTCATCACTAACGTTTATTTCTACCGTTTTTGACATAAATAACAGTGATCACTTTATTTCAGGCAATAATTTTTATTTACATGAATGGGGATTTTTAATTTAGAGGTAGTTTTCATCACAGGCTGACATCAGTTGGGGAACCATTGAAAATCTGGGAGCACTGGACAGATGTTTCATCCTAGTATGAGACTCCTTGACAGTAAGGAAGTTGCGATTATTAGGAAGATCAAATGAAATAACACTGGAAATAATAAAAACATAAAAATAAAGTATAATTCTTTTTATATGATACCGTGGTTGATTGGACCGCAGTGGCTATCATGGCTCGGTGGTGTAGTGGATAACGTGCTGGCGTTTGGAGCGATCGCTCCCGAGTCTGAATCCCGGTGTGAACAACATCACTCACTGGGAAGCATGTACATCCAGCTGATGGGTCCCAAATAGGAAGAAATGCTCATCCTGGATTCCACTGCTAGCCACGATCCATCATTAACATAAAGTGATAATGACAATATAAGGGTACAAAGATTAGTCTAACAAAAAAGGGGTGTGTTTGAAAAACGAAAAGGTAACGAAGCACTCCAAGACTAAACTAAATTAAGGCCAGGGTAGGACTCGGCAGTACGCACCCACGACTCGGCTAGGTACCGAACTCAGGAGTCATGGTGAACGCGTCCAGCCACTGAGTCTGTTTTCAGTGGTTCACAGTTTTCAACTTCTGACTACTACTCAAGGTCTTCAGTTAGCATCCACTTCCCTTTCGACTGGTTGACCCCACAGGTCACGGCTTCTCATTAGAGCTTCATGATATCGATCTGGAAGCAAGTCACTAATGAGCACTACACGGTAATGTGTTTTCGAGATGAAACCGACCCAGTGGCTGAATAGGTAACGAGTTCGCCGTGAAACCTGAAGGTCGTTAGTTGGGTCCCTAGCCAGGTCATGGGTGCGTACTTACGAGGAGTCCCATACTAGGACAAAACAGCTGTCCAGTGCTCTCAGATTTTCAGTGGTTCCCTAAATGTTGTCAGTCCGTGATGAATACTACCCCAAAATAATTTTTTATACAGTGTCGAATTTTCAGTGCGATATTTCAACACATTTACTCCTTATACAGTACGTTGAGATGAAATAATGTTATTATTAGCAGTATGATAAGCAATAATACACGAAACTAGTTGTTTTTACGTAATGGTCTAGTTTCCGGGCCTACTGTTGCAGGGAGGGGGGGTTGAATAGAAAAGCACCCTTAGGTTCAGTAGTGGAGGATTATTCAACAAACGTAAGAAATTTGCTCTTCTTGCTAACTATCCCTATAATAAAGTTTGAGGGAGTTGTGGAGATTTGGAAATATTTCAAGTTGTTATACATCGTAGACTGACATCAGTTGGAGGAACAAAGGAAACCTGGGAGCACTGCACAGCTGCTTCGTCTTAGTATGGGACTCCGCAGCAGTGGGCACCCACGACCCCACACCACCAGGGATCTAACCCGCGACCTTCAGGTCCCGGCGGCCAGCGAGTTACAATTGAGCCACTGGGTCAGAATCCAATGCTCCATACTTCCAACTTCTGTTAACTCACGATATACAGCAACCGCCACCCAATATCATCTTTGAGTATCTGTCCTCATGATCATCAGGCTTAGACTCCACCGGTCACTGCTTTTCATTGGAACTTCGGGAATACTTCTCGAAGGTAGTCACCAATGAGCACCAGTCCAATTAAATTTTGAGGGAGTTGTGGAGATTTGGAAACATTTCAAGTTGTTATTTGTCGTAGACTGACATCAGTTGCAGGGATGAAGGAAACTTGGGAGCACTGCACAACTGTTTCTTCCTTTGTTCTTCTAACTGATGTCAGTCTACGACAAGTAACAACTTGAAATATCCCTGTAATAGTTATGAAGTATTGTGAAGTGAAGAGTCCAGTGACATCCACCATGATATTTCTTTGTGGTTTTGTTAACTTGTATGATGATACGCTGAAGATATTTTAACAATGCGCGAGAGTGTATGTTACATGTTATTGACATTTGAATAAGTAAACCAAGTATGTATGGAGTGAAATATAAGAACGCAGGCAGCCAGCCGAATAACAGAACTTGCACATGGTTAACACATTGTATTCAGTGTGAGTGCATTTGCTGCATGATTTTATTATTATTTTATGTCGTATTTAGGAGTTGGCTACCGTTGTTTGATTGATAACTTAAAATGTCATTTAAAATATAAACACATACTCCTTTTGTGGTTTAAATAACTTTATAATTAACAATTAAATCAAAGAAAATTAATCTAATAAATTTACTCTGACTCACTCATCAGAGGAAATTCAGATTAAGTTTTTATCACTGATACCAAAGTGTAAAACTACTGAATCATTCTGAATTCATCAAGTGACTATACCAGAATCTTGAGTGGAATTATTACATTCTTTTAATAGATCTGAGTAGATCAGAGTGACCAAGAATTTGAAGAATTTTTTGAAACGATTCAGTGAACCAGGAGCTGGAAGTACTCTGAAGAGTGTCCGTCTACAATGTTTATCCTCTGAGATTCATTGAGAGGAACATGAAGACTATATATTACCTACAAAGGTTGAACATTTGATTTAAGTAAGATACCATAGTAGAGATACTCCAGAGTCACCCGTATAAATAGCGCTGAAGAAAACCTCCCTTTTTCATCTAACTTCGGGCTGATTTCTCTGGTCAACATGTGCTTTGAGAATGTGTAATAGATAAACTACCTGTTGATGTTGTTGTTTTCTCTTGGTTTGACTGTTAAATCGTGGAGCTTTTGTTGTGAATCTAGACATCATCACCACAAACTTCAGAAAGAAGATAAATTATCTCTTTGGGTCACTTTCATGTGCGTCTACTAATTCACCTGCTTCGGTGGAGCTCATTGCATAGGTCGCATAAAGTGTTTTCTATCCAAATGCATCGAAAGAAGAGTCTAAAGTGACTGATAGCTCGACTCTTGAGCATTTGGTTAACTATTGTCACTCTGTTCTACAAGAATCTTTCTTCACAGTCACTTATAAAGTTAAATCAAATATTTGATGGGGAGTGCTGTCTTGCCACCTGAACACAGAAGAAACCTTGGGAATTTGTTGGTTCAAGCGTGATCACTCCAATTTTACCTTGATCATAATCTCTATGAGACATTTTATCTATTAATTTTTTACTTTGAGGTTTATGTGTATTTCATTTTCAAGGTACTATCCATAATGGAATGAAAAAACCAAGGAGAGCCTGGTAAGACTTGATGGCAGTTTTGTTCTATTATGGGACTCCTCAGTTGTGTATAACCACCACTCCGCCTAGGGTTGAACTCAGGACCTCCAAGCTATCGTGGCGAATGCGTTGACAACTCGGTCACTGACTCAAAGTCAAGTGACCATCAGTATTTTACTTCCATCAATTCGCGATACAGAAAGACTATCCACCATTATTAGTGTCATACTTCAGGATGCACACCCCGAAGTTCTAGGGAGAAGTGATAACCAGTGGGGTCAACAATTCAGAAATGAAGCAGATGACAATTGAAGACCTGGGTGGATAGTCGTGTCATATTAACAACTGACAGAAGTAGGTGAATGAGACCAGTATCTGAATGGTTAACACCGTCGCCACGAGACCTAAATTCCTAAGTTTGGTCAGTGGTGGAGTCATGACTGCTTACCTCTGAGGAGTCTTATACTGGGACAAAACCACCATCCGGTGTTCCCAGGTTTCCAATGATTCTCCAACTAATTTCAATCCATGACGAAATACTACCTCGTTTATTATTTATTTATGGTGGGTGATTGAATGTGAAAAGAAAATCCGGACGGGGGCCGGATTCGAACTGGAGACTACCGGGTTACCGGTCCAGTGCTCTACCAACTGACAAACGAGGTCCAACTGCTGACCAGATTTTTATTTCACTTCAATCACCAAGGGTTTTGCTCGACTACCATGTGAATTAGTGATGCGTCACTACCGCTTCATCGTATTCACACTGGATGCCTAATCGGGACTTCTCATCCCAAATCTAACTGAATAAGACAGCAGGGGAGCATCAAATTGATTGTCATTCCGACTATCTGGGATAGCTGTGGTTTGGCAGAC